CACACACACACACACACACACACACACACACACAGACAGACACACATTAGCAGATCAGCTTCATCTCACCGTCTTGAGTGCCTCCTTCACCAGATCATCCTCCAGATTCGCTTGAATGTGAACTGAAAGTGTCAAATAACAAGGAACTTACTAGTGCATTCTGGAAATAAGCTCCCTGCACTTCCCTTAGCCAATGAAACACAAACCCAAACACAGAACTTACTGTCCACCTCGTCCAGGATGAGCTCATCTGTGGTGATGTCCAGGTCCCCCAGATTCAGAGCAGGAACCACATCAGAGTCAGACTTCTACCGACACATGACAGAGAGAGAGACAGAGAGAGAGACAGAGAGAGAGAGACACAGTCAATGCAAGCATCAGTACAGACTCAAACACATCATCCCGAGAGCAGCGGTAGCCAATGCAAAGCCAAACAAACGCTCTACTGCCATCATTACAAGAACCGGGAGGACCGGCCGTTTTAATATTTGGAAAGAATGTAACTGTAAAACATTATGTAAATATCGTAAAAAAAATCACAACCATATTACAACGATAAACAATAACATGATTGTTAATGTCAGTACATTAAATAATTATTTAAACCCTTTAAAGGTTGAAGGCAGGAGCACACTTGATTTCAATAATTAAGAAAAAAAAACTATTTACAGATAATTGCACTCTTATTCTCCCTTACAAAAAACTACATTAATACATAATGATTATTGGTGGGTAAAAATGCCACAAATATCACTCCAACTTCAGAGAAAAGCTGCAGCAAATTCAGTCACAAAATAACAATAATAAAACATCTTGCAGATTCTTCTTTTCACACATAATACCATCTGCTTTAACAAAGTGTGCAGCCTCATGGCTTCAGTTTCTTACACTGTAAGTTTCTCTCCTTTTTATAATAAACCTGTAATATCCCCTTCTTTATTAGATAACATTAAGATATTACATATTATTTTATAACTAGATATTGCTTCTTGTATACATCACAGATATATATATATATATATATATCGTGACGGGACTAAACTGACTGAGTTCTGCAGGTGAACACAGCTGCTGATATGCTGATGTTTAAACAAATATCTAATAAAGTCATTAAAGTAATAAAGTTCCTTGAGGTTTGTTGGCGTGATTAAAAAATTATTGGCACTTGTCATTCATTATTAGTCATTTTTGCATGTGAGTATATAGTAGTAGATATACATGCATACACAACCGAGAAAACAGCAGGAGAAATATGAGAATAATCAACGCAGGTAAATAACAGAGCACTGCACTATTTATATTGTGTCAATGCGTCTGACACGTCCCTGCACTGTCACGTGATCTCACTAACATGACACCATAACACGAGATATCTAAGATGTTGAGAGAAATAAGCAGCTGCACAGGCCGATATCAGCAGTAGCGGGGATAATTCAGTGAAGTCCTCATCACCTCGTCCTGTAGATACGCCGCAGAATCAGCACCGGAGTTCAGATGCACAGCTCCGGTGAGCAGCGCCTCCGCCATTGCGTCTGTAGTTCACAAAGACTACACTTCCGTTCAGTTTCACAGTCCCGCAAAAAACGCCTGTCACACTGTAAAATCATAAGAAACCTACTTAAGAAAGAGTAAAAGCTCTGGAATATATACTAAAGCCTACTAAACAGCATCAACTGCGCTTTGTATTTTTAAACATCATCGCTTTAAAATACTGTTTTAGTTCGCATCGGCCCATCGGACATTTGCATCGTGACGGAACATGTTCCGGTCGAGTTCGCGCGTCAGTGGTGAAATTATCGCGAGATCGGGATCACTTCCTCTTTGCGCGGAACCAGCGGACAAGATGGTAGGCATGAAATAACGTCCTGAAGATTGTAGTTGAAATCTCGCAACATCACGCTTATTTGCGGGTGTATAATAGCACTGATTTAACATCTTATTATTTTAATACATATAGAGTATATTTAAGTGAATATTTCTGGTTTACAGAATAGAGTACAAGTTAAATGAGTGACAGAAAGCCCGCGCTCAGTCAGCGTACAAAACCGCTCAATGGTGTTGATATGTTTTCGTTTTTAACAGGTTAACGCTGTTTGTGTGTATTTAGGGCAGAGCGCGCGACACTTGAGTTAGTGTGTAGTGTCAGTGAGTGGGTTCATCAGTGTATTACAGCACAGTTCAGACGGACTGGACGCGCGTTTAAGTCAAGTCAAGTTTATTTGTACAGCGCTTTTCACGATACAAATAATTGCAAAGCAACTTTACAACAAATCGTGTGTGTGTGTCGCTCCTCAGTCGCTCGTCATTCCAGAGAAGTTCCAGCACATTCTGCGTGTCCTGAACACCAACATCGACGGAAGACGCAAAATCGCGTTTGCCATCACCGCCATCAAGGTGAGCGTGCGCTGCACTGAAGCGTTCCGCACAAACACTAGAATACCTTAAAGGGACTTTGGTTCCGCACCGCAGTGAGTATGTGATAGTGAGTGTGTTGTATGTGAGATTGAGTGTGTTGTGTGTGAGAGTGAGTGTGTTGTGTGTGAGAGTGAGTGTGTTGAGTGTGAGAGTGAGTGTGTGTTGAGTGAGTGAGTTGTGTGAGAGTGAGTGTGTTGAGTGTGAGAGTGAGAGTGTGTTGTGTGAGAGTGTGTTGTGTGAGAGTGTGTTGTGTGAGAGTGTGTTGTGTTGAGTGAGTGTTGTGTTGAGTGAGTGTTGTGTTGAGTGAGTGTTGTGAGTGAGTGTTGTGAGTGTGTTTGGTGAGAGTTTGAGTGTGTAGTGTGTGAGTGAGAGTGTTGAGAGAGTGAGTGAGAGTGTTGAGAGAGTGAGT